TCAAAATTGCCCATTTTTTTAACATTTCAAAATGTGGCCGATTGGATGGGTAAGAGCTGGCGCAATTGCGCAAATCGACGGGTAGGATTGGAGGGGAAGTGGCTGTGAGGGAACTAGATGCAGAATTCGTTCTACATACTAGGATTTGTTCTACATACTAGTTTTTTTTTTTTTTTTTTTTTTTTTTTTTCGCCGCACTTTTTTCGAACGCGCCCCACCCACCTAATGTCCCTGAGGCATTGAAAATTTCAGCTCGGAATTTTTGTTCCACCATGTGGCACGCGATTTTACCACTGCCAGATGGGACTAGCGCCATCAGAAAATGCAAAAGTTTCCATATGAAAATTTAGAAATCGAATTTCATTTCGTATGAGAAATTAGGAACAGAAAATCCGCCCATCTGATGATCAGACGGGTCCGAAGAGCCCATCTGATCATAAGAAAGTGGAAAAAGCCTAGGGAGGACCCTGGCCCCAACGTGTATCTTGACAGTCTACACCAGGATTATGGGGAACATGCCGTAGGGGGTGGGTGCACAAAAGAGACGTATGAACCCATAAACACCCGTAGGTGTTACCGTACTAGGTTATAATTCTCAGAGTAGCAAAGTGACTAGAACAAGGCAGTACAAGGAACATATAGGGTCGGATTTGTACCCTTAAAAAACACAAACACATCTAGCCTAAAACTTCTACATATAAGCATATGTATAAATTGACACACCCTCTAGGCTAGATAAGAGGCAGTGCCTAGCAAGAGACACGCAACTCAGGGCGGCACTACTAGTTCAACCTCTCAGGCAGGGGTCCGAAGACCAGTCAGCAAGAGTACAAACTAAACAAGAGTAACTCAGGGCGGCACTACTAGTCCTGCCACTGAGACAAGAGCCACAAGGCCAGTCAAGATAATATAAGGACGAGCACACAAGTTAGGGTCCTCGCAAGTGAGGAGCTACTGGAACTAGACCAAGCTGTAAACAGTGCCGCTAATGATCTTTAGGCGCAAGCGCCTTCGTAAAGATATCAGCTGTGTTGGCACTGGAGGCTAAGTGTACTACGCATGCCTGGCCGTGCTGCTGTAGCTCGCGCTTGAGGAAGTACCGCAGCTGGATGTGCTTCGCTCAACCCTCCAGACGAGGCTCCTGACACAGGATAATCATGGTCTGCGCGCCTCTCCTTGAAGATTCACCGGCCATTGACTACGTTCGCCCCAGGTGGGGGCATCGACGTACGTGCCGGTGGATCTCCAAGATGCCATCTCTACGTCAATGGCAGCTATCCACTGAGAGGCCGAGGGTCCCGAAGTCGCCTCAGTGTAGGTGCGAGGGGTCGAGATGTCAAGAGCGTCTAGGTCACCCTTAGGGGCTAGCAGCATGGAGCAGAGATGAGGAGCGGCCGTAGACAGGAAAGCTAGCTCGTACTACCTGTCCTCTAGGATGCCACTGCCATTGACAGGTGCACCCCCGACGGACAGAGGACGGGCAAGGTCGGAGACCAGAATAGTGGAGTAGTCAAGGCGGCGGGTAGAGGCAAAGTCAGCGACGGCATCGACAAGAGCATCAAGACTGGAGACAGGAACGGACGGGTGGGTGACTAGACAGGCGAGGACACAACGAACAAGAGGACGAGCAGCACAGCAGAAGTCAGATGAAGGAGGCGGAGAGACAGCTAGCGACGACTGAGGTGGCGACGGGAGAAGAGGAGCGGGAGGAGCATGAGACATGTGAGAACGGAGCAACATTGGGTGAGAACCCTGAACAGGAGAGACATGGCGATCATGAGAGAGACGGCCATACCAGAAGTGGGAAGGAGGCGTGGGGTCGGGAGACACTGGAGGAGACCCAGTGGGAGAACGAGGGGGGAAACGAGTCGGGGACGAGTCCGGCTGAGGGAACACAAGGCCGTAGTTAGGAGGAGGAGGTGGCACTGGGGGAGGCTCGGGTGGTCTGTCGAGAGAAGGAAGACCAAGGAGGCGAAGGGCGGACACTGTTGGCGACTGCTGCGTCTGCTGGTGCTATGCGCCAGCACCAAAACCTGTAGCTGCACCACTGCTACTTCTTGAACTCACCACGAAAACACCCTCAAAACTAGCACCCTCAGGGCCAGCACCCTTAGAGCCAGCACCCTCCTCAGAGGCAGTACCCCAAGCTCCAGCACCCCCAGTGCCCACGGACCCCTCCTGCTGCGGCGGCTGCTGCTGCTGCTGAGGCGGCGACGGCGGCAACTGCTTCTGCGGCGCCGGTTGCGGCTGCAACTGCTGCTGCGGTGGCAGTGGAGGAGACCCCGGGGCCGAGGGTGTAGGTGCCCCGTGGCGGGGCAGTGGCCCTGGCCCTGAGCCTCGTGGCCCCTGGAGTCAATAGACTCCTCGTGCGGGCCAACCGAAGGAAGGGGAGTGACGTGAGACACACCAGACAGGGCACGACAGGGAGCGGGAGCTACCGAGGGAGTGGGGACAAGGAACAGGGGCAGGGTGACCGGGAGACCTCGGTGGAGAAAGCGGGTGTAGAAGGAGACAAACTCGTCAAATGTGACGTCACGCAAGTAAAAGAAGCGGTGAGACGATTGGAGGTAAAAGTAGACCCGGTCCAGTGGAGGGTTGGTGAAACCTGTGGTCACTGGGAGCGCGGCCACAAGTAGAGCTGGTGAGCGGCATAGCACACTGTGAACGGCCAAAGAGAATGGGCTGTACCACCATTGAACAAGGAGGTACAAGCCACCTCCATGTCCAAACTGATGTGTCGCTCAACGACCCCTTTCTGCTATGGAGAGTTTGGCAGTGTGTACGACTGGGTGATGCCCTCCGTACGACAGAATTGACCAAGCCGAACGGAGGCAAACTCACTGCCATGGTCGGAGTGGAGACGGAGCACTGGCAGGGCGCGGTGGAGATGGGCAGCTACAAGCCACAGGATAAGAGCGTCAGGCACGTTGTCCTTCCGCTCAAGGGGAAACACCGTGGGCTAGCGCGTGTAGTCGTCTATGAGCACCGGAAAGTAGGGCGTGCGACGCGGCCCTGGGATGGGGGTTGGGCCCCAGACGTCCAAGGGCAGGGTATGGAGTGGCGCAGTGGTGGGGGGAAACGAGGAGGAGTGAGGAGCACGACGAAGCCAATCCTCGACGCAAGGCGTGCACGGAGGCACGGGCGAAGGAGGGAGGGCAGGGAGCGACGCAGGTTGACCTAAGACATGACCGTGCTCGGACATGTGACGCAGACGTGGAGTTTGGGGTGACCTAGGCGGCGGTGCCACAGTAGCTACGGGTGAGTGAGCGACCGACACACCTACGCTAGGCAACACAGGTAATACAGTAAGTTCTAGTCACACTAGAGTCATCAACATACATGGCATACAAAGCAGAGATAATTTTATCCATATCCATCCCGAAGAACGGCATACAACGACGTACAAGGCTGGGCCAGTCCGAGAGGTCCGGCGCGGGATCGAAGCAGAGACGGAAAAGGCCATTGAGGCGGCGGTAGCTGTGGGCGGTGGTGTGACCAGTATGGCCACGCATAGTGCCACAAAAGGGACCAGACTAGAGCTGGTGCTGGCAACTCACAGAGCTAGAGCTGCCAGCTGACGTCGAGCTGCGAGGGCTGCCACCGCGGCCACCACCACCAATGCCGCCGGGCCACCACGGTTGTGGGGGTCCCCACGGCTGCCGCCGCCGCTGCTGCTGCTGCTGCGGGGGCTGCTGCTACTACCTTGATTGCTGCTGCTACTATGGGGCGTCATCCCCCTCCCCCTCGTCTGCACCGCCTGCGCTCGCACCACCTCCGCCACCCCCACCACCCCCGTTGCCCCCATCACCCCTCCCTCTTCCCCGCCCTCCTCTGGGGCAGTGGCCCTTAACATGAAGAGGCTGCGCTGATGCCGCCTCGGCTGTCTCAGCGGCAGGGACTGTCTCAGTGACAGCGACAGAAGCGTCAGAGTTTGTGCACTGGGAGGGAGCACAACCCTAGAAGATAGGGACCGCTGCAGTATCGCTAGACTGAGCGATAGTGCGCTGGCGGGTCTCTATCGCGGACAGGGTGGCGACAAAGTTGGTAAGGGTGAGGTCAATGGGGTGAAGACTAAGGAAGGCATCACGGGCAGTGGCTAGGCGGTCGGGAATGCGCGTGGCAAGGAAATAAAGTGTGGTGCCGAAGTGGGGAGGCAGTACAGTGAGCTGGGCCTCAGTGCTAGCGCTGGCCCTTCTGATGGCGACAAAGGTCGGAGAGCCACGCCTCAAACTCGACAGCCCGACCCTCCGCGTCCAGGCGGAGAACAGCGTCCGCCATGACGTACAGCGGCAGCAGCTGGAGAGCTCAGGCGGAGGAGGAGGAGGGGGCAGCCGAATGTGGTGGAGGGCGGTGGAGTGCGGTAGAGTGCGGTGGAGTGTGGTGAGGTGCGGTAGAGTAGAGAGCCGGCAGGGGCGCCTGCTCGAAGGAGGAACCAGGGCCGGCAGCGTGTAAGGGGCCGGCGGCAAGCAGGGGCGGCGTGGCGAGCTGACGTCGGTGCGGCTAGCTGGGGCGGCGCGGCAGGCTGGGGCCGCACGGCGAGGTGAGGGGCCGCGCGGCGAGCTGGAGGCCGGCGGCGAGCTGGGGGCCGCGGCTAGCTTGGTCCAGCTGCGAGCTGAGGGCCGCACGGGGCGGCGAGCTGGGGCTGGCGGCGAGCTGGATCCAGCGGCGAGCTGAGGGTCGCGCGGGGCGGCGAGCCGAGGGGTTGGCGATGAGCTGGGGCCGTCAGCGAGCTGGGGCCGGCAGCGAGCTGGGGCCGGCGGAGAGCTGGGGCCGTCGCGGCAAGCTAGGGCGGCGCGGCAGGAGGTGACCGACTTGGTGGGCTGGGCCAGCACAGCAGCTAGGGGCCAGCGCGGCAGCTAGGGGCACGCGCGGCAGTTAAGGGCCAGCGCGGCACGGCGAGCTGGGGGCCGAAGCGGCGTGGCAGGCTAGGGCTAGGGTAGGTGCTACGGGAGGCTAGGTCGGAAGCGTGGGTGGATGGGACCCACCTAGCGTGATACCATCTCAGATTTATTTAAGTGACTAGAACAAGGCAGTACAAAGAGCACATAGGGTTGGAGTTGTGCCCTTAAAGAACACAAACCCTTCTAGCATATAACTTCTACATATAAGCATATGTATAAGTTGACAAGAATAAGGAAGCCTCTAGTACTGAACAACCAAGAAACTGATCATTCTTGATTAGCAATTGAGGTGGCGTGGGTGTAACACTGCAAGTATCAAAAGCGGGTGACAAGAAGGCAAACAAGGAAAGAGAAAGGCTAACTGCTCCTGAGGAAGGGTGACTTTGATGGAGCAGAGAGTGAGAGACAGCACAGAATGCAATGAAGCAGAGTAGCAATGGCGAGACAAGGTGGGGTGAATGAGTCAAAAGATTTTGGATCCATGTGCAAGCACGAGTAATTTGTAGATATGGCGCTTGGAACACTCATTGAACAGTGTACCAGAGAATCAGAGATGCCCAGTCTCCAGAGCAGCTGACCTGGTGGCAGAGCAGGGAGCCATTGGGCATGGCAGCAAAGGGCTCATCAATAGAGAGGCGGTTGTGGCACGCGGAGCAGCGTGTGGACGACACACTGATGCCCGCATGGTGGCTGCTGTGCAGGGCGGATGGTGATGTGGAGGATGATGAGGAGAGGGTGGAGGAGGAGGAGGGTGGCGGCATGATGGCGTGGGGTGGCAGTGGCAGCAGCACGGAGCGGGAGAGCAGCGCCACTCGGTGTTCGCGCAGGGTGCGGTTCTGCGCCTTGAGGAGATGGTGCACGATCTGTGTGGGCAGGCAGGGAGGAGGGAGGGGGGTTGGGGAGCGTGGGGAGGAGGTTCAGTCTTGCTGGTACAGTGGAGAAGTCGCAGAGCCTTGTAAAGGGAGTTCGCCTCTCTGCACACCCGTGCTAAGTCCTGCTTGCCCCTCCCTCACACTCTCAAAGCTTGATTTTGTTAGAGCACTTCTCAACACGACACTCCATCCTCGTTCACTACCATTTCATCACTCACCCTCATCCCCTTTCCTTTGGTTCCACCTGTTGGAGATAGGCTGCAATGTTGCACATTTGTGTGTTAGTCATTTGTTTGTTTAGGGTTAGGAATGTTTGTTAGGTTGGGTGTAGCTTTTTTATCTCCAACCTATCCCAACCCAATCCATCCCAGATCCCCACGATTTGGGAGGATTCCTTTGGGATTCCCTCTGATTCCCCTTATCCCTTCCAACCCTCTCCTATGGTTAGAACTTAAGCTTGTATGCCCTCTCTCATTTTAATAAATCAAAGTCCCGTTTTCTTATACCACCTGCCCCTGTCTCACCTGCCCCTGTCTCACCTGCCCCTGGCTCACCTGCCCCTGGCTCACCTGCCCCTGGCTCACCTGCCCCTGGCGGTGTCGGTGCACTCTCTCGCGCATCAGCCGCGCCACTATGCCTCCCGCCTCCCGCACCGGCATGTCAACCGGGAGAGCCTGAGGGCACGGCGTGCAGAGAGGGGCGGAAGGAGTGGGGGGGAGGAAGTGGGAGGGAGGGCAAGTAGGAGTGAACGGGGGGAGGAGGGAGTGTACGATGTGGCCATTGATGGCAACGATGTGATTTGATGTGCGAGGGCGTGCCAAGTTCTTTTCCCACCAAAAATTGCTCTTTTCACATGCGAAAAGTGCCTCCTAGTTGCCACAAGCACCTCTGACATGCCTGCAGTATGCTGTTGGGATCCACATGCGCCTGCCCACAGTGCAACAGCCGCACAGCAGCGTCAAACATGGGGCGCAGGCCCGCTCCCGGGTGCAGGTACAGGTGCAGCAGACTGGTGGGGGGTGGGGGGGGGGGGGGGGGGAAGGGCAGCAGAGGAGGGCCGGAAAAGAGGGGGGGAAGACTATTTCCCTGTTGCAGAAGCACAAGGAGATTCAACGGCAGCAAGCAATTCAAAGTGCTGCAGCCTGCGCTACACTGTCCAACCCCACGCTCCGGATCTACATGTGAAGGTGTGGGTGCACTTGTGGAAATGCAGAACCTACGCAGCACACCCCGCACTATGAGTCATATCTGCATGCAGGAGGGGGGCGTGGGGACGCATCATGTGGGGACGCATCATGTGGGGATGCATCATGTGGGGATGCATCATGTGGGGATGCATCATGTGGGGATGCATCATGTGGGGATGAGACGAGGGGAGCGACTGAGAAGGGTGGGTTGACCGGCTGGCAGATGCGAAAATTATTTTCCACTGCCACGTCTCTCGTCCTTCTTTGTGCTCCTCTTCCTTCCTTTTGCACCTGCCCAGCCGTACAACAAGGCCACAGCTACAAGGTAGTCGGGACAATGCAACAGCTACAAGTCAGTACGACAAGTCAGGACGACCAGTCAGGACGACAAGTCAGTACGACAAGTCAGCACAGGGAGGAGTAAACACTGGGAGGCAGTAGTGAGAACGCACAGGGATGAGTACTCACTGGTCGAAGGCATGTGGGTCGTTGAGCTGTAAACAGTAGGCCTCTGCTGCCTCACTGTCCTTCAACTCCCTGGTGTGCATGACATGCCACCATGGGCCATGCCACGCCATGCCATGCCATGCCATACAAGACGCAGTAAAGAGCACGTCAGAAGGGATGATCGGGTGCGAAAGTGAAGGGCCACCAGCAGTAGCAGTGTTACAGGCACTTCAGGACACCATGCAACCATACTGTTGGTTAGGTAGAAATCACGACTCACACATCTGAAGGTAGAGGCAGTTAAAAAAACACAAGAGGTGAGGTGCATAACAAGGGCAGACACAAGAGTTAAAGCCCGTAACCCAGATTGCTCATACGCAGTGCGTATGAACAGTGAGTTTAGCGAAGCCTGAGAAAATATCGCAAAGCCAAGAACTTTCACTGTCGTCGCTTCATTCTGGGCCATCCGATTAAAGTAAGACCGATCCGACGGCCCAAGTCCAAAAGGCTGAATGTTTTGAGGTCGACGGCCTTCACTAAGAACCGAATTGAATATCTAAGCTCTGTAAATCTCGACCGTCAAAATCAGCGAAGTGCTGTGTGTTTGCCGAGTCCCAAAACGCAGGCTGTTTCAACTTCAGTGTTTGTCGAGGGACTTTCACAGGTCTCAAAGAACACACTTCAGTTCTAGTAAACCCTCCCACTGCCCCTCTCAAACGCAGTGCGTTTGAAGCCTTGGGCTAGCAATTTGGGCTGGGGGCTTCAAGGCATGCTAGCAAAGACTAGGCAGAGTGAGCTGTCAGGTTGGGTTAGCTTCTGAGAAATCTAAAACAACCAACTCAACTAGGCAGGGTGGCCAAGATCAGGTTGGACAAGGAGGGGAGGAGGAGGGAAGGGAAGGAGGAGCGACTCTCACAGAGCGAGAATGCGCAGGGCTGCAGTGTGGTCGCCCAGTCTCCTCAGCACAACGACCTGATGGTCACAGACGTGCAGGGGCGAGAGCAGGACACATGTGCGGCGATGCGTGCACGTTAAGGTTTGGTTGGAGGACGTCACAAAGCTTAGGCATCATAGAGGTGCTCTATGCATGAAAATGCTGCGCATTGAGATAACAAAGCAGCCATGAGCTGACACGTGACACGTGTTGTGTACCTGCTCTCTAAGCAGTGCCGGCTCGTCCTTTATTCTCTGCCACACAGCACTGCCATCATACAGCTCTGATGACTCCAGGAATGTCCTCGACACTTTCCGCACCCGCCTCCACAGCCTGGCTAGCGATGCCCCCCCTGCCTCTCCCCAGCCCGCCCATTGCTCCCCCCCCTCATCGTCCTCCCCCTCTTTCTCGTCCTCTTTCTCCTCGTCTCCTTTTTCTGCTGCCAACGCTCCTCCTGTATTCCCTGCTCCCCCCCCCCCGTCTCTCCATCCCTCCAAATGCCCCTTGCCTTCCTCCTCTCCACGGTCATCTGAACTCTCCCCTCGGCCGTTCTCCGTCGGCGCTTTATTCCTTTCAACTCCTGTACCTGCTGCTGTAGCAGCAGCAGCAGCGGCGGCGGCGGCGGCGGCAGCAGTGTCAACAAGAGCGAGCGCATAGAGTGTGTGATGGTGCTGGCTGCAACTGGCCTGTTTTTCCACCAGCCACTGCAGGTACCTGCGTGTTGAGGGGGGGGGGTTGAGGGGGGAGGGGCGGGGGGGGCATGGAGAGCATCGGAAAGTGGAAACATCGGAAGTATGAAAAGTGTGATAGGGTAAGAGGTACCCCAAAGGACACAGTATGCAAGGGGTGGCAAGTATGGTGAGATTGATACCCTTGAGGTGAAGAGGAGAGGAGGAGACCATTCGATAACAAGTAAAACTAGGGTGGGGACGGTGGTGCTTACACCCTTCATGGATGCTGCATGTGTGACCAACACGTGGCATGGGCTAACGGGTGCATGCTACACGTAGGACCATGAAATCCCTTGATTCACTCGAATGACGTTCAACGTGTTGGAGAAGCGTTGATTGGACGGATGGTGAATCGGCGAGAGGGGGTGGTGAAAGGGCGAGAGGGCTGACCTCCACTTGACAAGCCGATCTAGACCTGCAGCGGATATGGCTCGCAGTACATCGTCTGGTGGTGTGGGGCACACACATGCATGACACAGCATAGGATGGCATGGGATGGCATGGGATGATGTGGCATGGGAGGTAATGCAACCGAATGGCATAAAGACAAATACGGTATTGAGCGAATAGACTCCTGGATTAAAATAATGTTGCCACAGCTGCAACAATCGAACTCTATTTCACTCAAAAGTGAAGTGAAGAGTCGTTGGAGGGACAAGGAGAGACACGGAGAGACACAGAGGGACAAGTTGTGCTGACGAGGAGAGGGGAGGCATGGTCGAGGTAAGCTTACACAAACAGAGGAGAGAGAGGGGAAGAGGACGGGGAGGGGGGAGGGAGGGAGAGGATGAGAAAGAGAGACGCGAGAGAGAGAGAGGGCGTGAGAGGAGTGATAAGTGAGGGTAAGTAAGAGAGGGGTTCTGACCAACAGGCAGGGCAGCAGAGGGAGGGCGCGAGGCAGTGAGCACAGAGAGGGCTCTGGAGGGACTTAGGCGCAGCACCTGGTATGATGGGGAAGGCATGTGATGAGGAAGGGTGTATCACAGCATATGCTGCATGTCACAGCATATGCTGCATGTCACAGCATATGCTGCATGTCACAGCATATGATGCATGTCACAGCATATGATGCATGTCACAGCATATGCTGCATGTCACAGCATATGCTGCATGTCACAGCATATGATGCATGTCACAGCACATGATGCATGTCACAGCATATGCTGCATGTCACAGCATATGCTGCATGTCACAGCATATGCTGCATGTCACAGCATATGATGCATAGCACTGCATATGATGCATGTCACAGCATATGCTGCATAGCACTGCATATGATGCATAGCACCGCATATACATAATACATGCCCATGCACGCAGACACGTACACAAATGCACACACGCACAAGCATACACAAGTCTCCTACTCTCACGCCTAATGCCATGTGCTCTCAAACGCTCTCACATGCACACTCTCTGTCTCGGGCCTGCCTCAGCGCCCGTGCACAGCCACATGCACGCACGCACCCACTCACACACAGCCACAGCCACAGCCACAGCCACAGCCACAGCCACACACACGCTCATTCCCACATACCCACGGCAGGTGCTGCAGCACCAGCGGAGCTTCCTCTAGCACTGCCAGTATCGCCACTGCCTCCTCCACTGCCTGCCCCTGCATGCCGCTCGCCCCACCTCCTCCCACACCTCCTCTCCCCAACTCCCCCTCCCTCTGTTCCCCTCCATCCCTGTCCCTCCCCCCTCTGCTCTCACTCTCTAGCCCAACCGCCCCTGTCCCCACTGCCCCTGCCCATCCCCCAGCCTCCTCCTCCCCACCTCCCCCGCGCAGCTCCCCCAGCGCCAGCCCCCGCCAGAGCACCAGAGCGCCCCCCGCATCCCCCCTTTGCCAGCGCAGGTACGCGAGAGGGGGGAAGAGGTGCGCGCGCAGTAGAGAGCCCTCCACATCCGGCTGGGGGAGCGGGAGAAGAGGGAAGGGTGGGCGTGATGAGAGGAGGGAGGGATGCGTGTGGGCGATGACACGAGGGAGGGATGCGAGGTATGGGGGGTTGGGAGGTGAAGAATCAGGGTACAGAAACGTGACGACGTGCAATGAATTTCAAGCCTTGCTGTGGTTCATTGCGGGAAAGGTGTGAGTTTGGCATTGAAGCGAGGATCAGCTTAACCTGTAAGACAGACAGACGGGTACGAGCGTACCAAGTAGCAGCGGTTGCGCGCACTGGGCAGGCAGAGCGGCAGCAGGCGGGAGGCGTCGTGGAGAGCTAGCAGCAGGAGCACGAGCAGGGAGTCAAGGCCCTGCTGCTCCTGCTCCGACACACAGTAGTGCCGCCACTGCTGCCGCACTGCCAGCAGATAGCTGGGGGTGATCAGGGGAGAGTGAAACGGAAGAAGGGCAGTGAGGCAGGGGGCGGGGAGGAAGGGCTCGTCATGCACCAAAAGGAAGCCTTTCTTGCGCCTTTTCCGGCCATCCGCGGTCCTCTTGTCACCCCTCAGTCCAGCCGTGCTCTCTCTCTCCCCTCTCAGCGCCTCTCTGCTCCATGGCACACACACACACACACATGCACACGCCCCTTGTTTACATACAAACACCCCAATACTTGCCAAGGTGTGATGAAAGCCCTGTCAAAGACGGAAACTCATCCAACGGTGGAAACTCATCCAATGGTGGAAACTCATCGAATGGTGGAAACTCATCGAATGGTGGAAACCCATCCAACGATGGAAACCCATCCAACGGTGGAAACCCATCCAACGATGGAAACCCATCCAACGGTGGAAACCCATCCAACGGTGGAAACCCATCCAACAGTGGAAACCCATCCAACGGTGGAAACCCATCCAACTGTGGAGACCCATCCAATGGTGGAAACCCTTCCAACTGTGGAGACCCATCCAACGGTGGAAACCCATCCAACGGTGGAAACCCATCCAACAGTGGAAACCCATCCAACGGTGGAAACCCTTCCAACTGTGGAAACTCATCCACAGATGGAAACCGCCGCACCTCACCGCACCCGCACCGATCCGTACCTCACCGCACTCTCCTGGCACCGCCTCCGAGCATCCTCCTGTCGCCGCTGCTGCTGCACCCGCTGCTCCCCTCCTTCCCTCGCACCCTCCCTCTCACCTCCCACCGCACCAGACCCCACAGACGCCCCTCCCCCAGACGAGCCCGGACTAGCTCCAGTAAACGCCTCCCTCCCTGCCACTGCTGCTGGTGCTGCTGGTGCAGGAAGTGAGGCAGAGGGGAGTAATGAGGAGGAGGAGGGGGAGGTGGTGGTGGAGGGGTGATGGTGGTTGCGGTGGGGGGGAGCGGCAGAGGGCGCGGGAAAGCAGCAGCAGAGCAGGCGGTCGTGCAGGGCAGAGAGGGGCGCGTGCAGGCCCCAGAAACGAGCACGAGGAATCTGAGGAAAGGGGGGGGGAAGGGGGGGGGGGGGGGGGTGTGTGGGGGGAACAAGGGGATGATGGGATGGGAATAGGCAGGGGCAACAGTGCTCTATTGGGACGGGACGGGACGGGCGGGGAGGGGACGGGAAAGGGAGACGAGAGGGGTGTGTGTGATGGGGAGGTCACAGGCGGATGGGGCTGCGGTCTCAGAAATATTTGCAACTTGAAAGGACGAGTGTGGTAGAGCAAGGCAAGGCGTGACATAGTGGAGAGGGTGGGTTTCAAGGAGATTGCACAGAAGAGGCGGAAGATAACGGCGGAGAGTGTAAGACGAAGCGTCGAGTGAGAGTAAGAGGAAGCGGAGAGAGAGAGAGAGAAAGATGAAGCTGCAAGAGACAGTGAGAGGAAGCTGAGAAGGTGAACCCATAGGGGACCAGGAACCAACCAACGATCGCCACCTGGCCGTCAAGTGGGGGAAGAGTGCGAAGATCTCTGCAGGTTGGAAGACTCCCCCTCCAGCAGCCAGCAGATGCGGCACTGCTGCTTGGAATTCCCCGTCCCAGAGCAGCAACAGGCCCACCTGCGCATGTGCCTCTGCTACCCTCCTCCTCCACACGCTCCTTAATGGCACACTTGTATTGCTGGGTGGTAGGGCGGATGTTATGGGGGGAAGCACCCCTTTAGCAGTAGAAGCAGCACCAGCAGCAATATCACCAGAAGTACCAGCAGCAGCAGCAGCAGCAGAATTCCCTGTGCTTTGCTCAGCACCGCCCTCTGCCCTAAGCTGCCCCTCTCCCTCCCCCTCCCCCTCCATCTCCTCGCCCACATCCCTCCCCCGCGCCACCTCTAGCGCCTCCACATACCGCCTCTCCCTCATCAGCTCCCGGGCCTGCTGCGCCAGGGAAAGCCGCGGCACCCACCAAACCTCACTCCCACTCGCAGCCACCACCGCCGCACCCCCTTTTTCCGCTGCCAGCGCCACCAATGGGCTCCTGCCAGCTGTCCCCGCCCCCCCTGGCACCGGGAGCGTCTGCAGGAGGGTGCCCTGGGCTGGGTCGAAGAGGTGTAGGGAGTGGTGGAGAGCAGTGGCGACGTGGGGAGGGGCGAAGGCGAGGGCGATGGGAGGGGAGGGGAAGATGAGGGGGTTGCCCCTGGGCTGGCCGGAGGGGTCTATCACTACGCCTATGTCGTCCATAGCTACTACTGCTGCTGATTCCTGTGCATGCATGGGTGGGGGGCGGTCTGGTGCAGGAATTGAGACACCCCCTACTCCTGCTGCTGCTGCTGCTGCTGCTGCTGATGGTAATGCTCTCACGGCATCTGCATCTGCTGCAAGTACTGGAGCTGACTGTGCTCTCACGGCATGTGCTGCTGCTGAGGGAGGCATGGGTGCATGAGGCGTGCGACTGGAAGGACGTGACGTGCCTGGCTGCATCCCTTCTCGCTGGATCCCCCAACTGCCCTCTTCGCCTGCTGCTGCCCCTCTTGCTGCATCTCCTGCTGCTCCACTCGCCGCGCCTGCCCCTGTTCCTGCTGCACGTGTACCTTCAGCCTCACTTCCACCTGCCCCTGCGTGCACTCTTGACGCTCTCCCCGCCCCGTCAGGAGCAACCTTTCTCTCTCGTGGGGAGGTAACCCCAGAAGGACTCAACCCCAGCGAGATACCAGCAATGAGAGGGGGGTCAGGGGAGGAGCGAGGCAGGGGGAAGAGCTGCAACGGTTGGCCTGACGGTATAGAGAGTTGCAGGTATTGGAGAGATGTACCCAGGATCACTGATGATCCCAGATACGCTGCTGCTAGAGGCACCTCTCGCTCGCCTATACCCTTTATAAGCATCTCCCCTTGCAGGGTGACGGAGAGCTCGTCCCAGCGAGGCGTGGGGGAGAGGGGGGCCGAGGAGGAGATGGAGAAAATGAGGAGCTTTCTGCGGAGGACGAGGAGGAGGGGCGCAGAGGAGGGAGAGGAGGGAGAGGAGGGAGAGGAGGGAGAAGGAGCGGGGAAGGAGGATTGAGGGTGGGAAGCGAGGAGCAGTGTGCCGGAGGCAGGGCCAACAGGTGGGCCGAGGGTGAGGGAGTGAGGGTGAAGGAGACGCACCCCTCCATCGCACAGCACTGCCAGCAGACCCACACTGTATAGAACTTCCACTCGCTCCACTGCCCTCCTCCCCACCACATACACCCCTTGTACACTCAACTCCGGGCCTCGACGCTCACTGAAGCCTCTTCCCCCCACACCAGGTGCAGCACTGCTGCCACCCGCACTGCCACCCGCACTACCACTTGCACTACCAATACTGCTAGTACCATCGGAAGCAGCAGCTGCAGCAGCAGCGCCCACCCGACCTCCTGTGAACCAGCCCCAGCCTGTGGTGCTGCCAGCACCACCAGCACCAGCAGCACCCGAGGCAACAGCACCAGCTGCAGAAGCAGCAGAGGAAGAAGCAGCATCAGTGCCGCTGCTGGTAGCTGGGTCCTTGTTGCCAGAGGGAGATTCTGCTGCTGCTGCGGCGGCGGCAGCCGCGGGCTGGTTGGGTTGGGTGGTGTGCGGGTGGGTGAGGGAGAGGTGCAGCAGTCGGCCTGCTGACGTGCCCACAAACACACTGCTGCTCATGCGCACACTGCCGCTGCCATGTCCAACGCCACTGCTGCTGCTGCCGGTGCTCCCGTGAGCGTTGGGCGTGGGCGTGGGGAGCGCGAGGGCAGCGATGCAGCGGATGTGTTCGTTGCGGTGCAGCGCCATGCGGTGCCCCACCACTCGCTCGCTCAGCACAGGCCGGCATGTGGACGGCGCGTGGGGGGAACCTGGGGAAGTGGAGCCCATGATGGTGCAGTAGGGGGTGTGCGTGTGAGCAAGGGCGAGAGAGGAAAGCAAGGGAGGGGGGGAGGGGGGGGAGGGAAAGCGACGGGGGCGGGGGTGGAGAGAAGTGGGGGGAGGAGAAGAGAGAGGGGCGGGATGGGAGGGAGCGGCTGTGTGCAGCGGGACGGAAGGCGGGGAGAGTAAAGGGCGATGCCGCGGGGACTCAGCGTCGTGCCACGCTAGGCGTCCGTCCGTTTCCGTGTGTACTAGCTAGTAGCTACCAGCTCTTGGCACCAGTCCGAGTCTTCCGGCCGTGAAAACACGCCATAGCCCCCAGCCCGTTCTCTCTCTGCTGTCTGCCGAAGCGACTGGTTTGACACGCGTCACGGGCGACCGACTATACACCCCCCTCGCAGTGCTGATGCATGCTCCTGCCGCGGAAGTCGCGCTGAGGCAGCTCAGAGCGCTGGTTGTGCCGCAAGGCCGTGTGCGCCTCAACGCGGCTGCGAGTGCGCGGCATGCGGCCCACGGAGGAGGGTGGCACGAGGGTGAAGGGAGAGGGCGTGGGGAGGGGGCGAGACCGAGTGAGCAAGGGGTAAGGAGGAGGCGGGGGAGCGAGTAGCGCGGGCCCCAATAGGGCCTCCGATCTGGACGAGGGGGGAGGGGGGAGGAGTGGGGGGACAGCGCCTGTCGCTCTCCTGCGACGGGTACTGCGACGGCCTGCGATTGGCGACAGGTCGGGCGGCAGTCGCGTGGGCGAGATGCACGGTTCGTGCGGTGAATTCCGTGGAGAGAGGAAGATCGAGGAGCGAGACTAGCGACTAACCCGCTGGGTGCGCAGGAGGATCCTGAAACTTGGAAAACAAAACGGAGGAAGTGGCAGTCACGGATCGGCGACGTCGCGAGTTGAGTCGAGGAGGACGGGGCTCAACTCGCGAGGGGGGTGGGTGTCTGTCAGCATGCTGGCTCTGCTGCTATGTTTCCACTGCACCGCACCTGCTTCGTGTGGCTGCAGACACCAGTTGTGCTGCAGTGAAGATGCAACTAGCAAATAGATTTCCTCAGGAAGGGTGCTCAGGCAGGGGGGGGAAGAAGGGGGCTCAATGGTGTGACGCTCGGCAATCTCGAAGCATATACATTTCAGCACGAGGCAATTGGGAGCGAGTAGCACCCTTATGCCATTACAGTACACCATTATGAGATCATACTAAACCAGGCGTCAAAGCGAGGGTCTCAAGAAGCAAAAAAACAAACCCAAAGGTTTTGGTTTCGAGGGGTCTCTAAAATTGCGAGATGTGATAACGGGTGCTGGTTGGGCGCTGTAACTGTTTCGCAAAGTTCGTCAACCCAAAACCAAAACCTTTGGATTTGGTTTTCTGCTTCTTGATATCAGAAAGAAAATTGATTGAACTAGAATGTGCGTGTACAAGGATATATGGACTAGGGTGTTGTACCCTCTAAGGGACAATCCAGTATAGTCTACAGTAACAACCTAAGTTACATTTGACACACCCCCTAGACTATATAGGGGCAATGCCTAACAAGAGAAGAAGCAGCTCAGGGCAGCACTACTAGTCCAGCCTCTGACAAGGGTCTAAAGACCAGTCAAAAGGAGTACAGACAAGGCAAGAGCAAGCCCAGGGCGGCACTACTAGTCCAGCCACTGGGAAAGGCCACAAGGTCAGTCTGGGTAAAATATAGATATAAAGGACTGTACAAAGTCAAGGCCCTAGCAAGTGAGAGGCCACAGGAACGAGACCCAGCTGTACACAGTGCCGCTGATGATCTTTAGGCGCAAGCGCCTTCGTAAAGATATCAACTGTGTTGGCACCGGAGGCCAAGTATACTACGCGCGCCTGGCGACGCTGCTGCAGCTCAGGCAGGAGGAAGTACCGCAGCTGAATGTGCTTCGCTCTACCCTCGAGTCGAGGCTCCTGACACAGGAGGATCATGGCCCTGTTGTCAGCGTACAGGACCGGGGCAGAGCTAGGCCGCTCACCTAAGTCAGTGAGCAAGAAGGTCAGCCAGCGGAGCTCCTATGCCGCCATGGCACCGGCGTAGATCTCGGCCTCAGAGCTAGACTGGGCAACAAACAAGGAGAGGGTAGCTCTCCACGAGACGGCACCTGAACCAAGGCTGAAGCAGTAGCCCTATGAGGACCTGAGGGTCTCGACGTCGTCTGCCCAAGAAGCGTCTGTGTATCCAGTAAGGACCACTGGCCTACGTCCTTCTAGCACTAACCCCATGCCCGATGTACTTGCAAGATAACGCAAAACCCTCTTAGCGGCAGACTAGTGCTGAGGTCGGTGTCTGCCTGTAGCCACAAAGCGAGCCAAGATGCTGAGAGGGTATGCAAGATCTGGGCACGTGCAATTCATCAGGTACATGAGGCAACCCACCAGCTCTGCGTAGGGACCACTGGGCTCTTCTGACTCCTCAGGAACTGGAGCGGAGAGCCTGTGGTCTAGAGGCAGAGGAGTAGGCTGTGCGGAGGAGAACTGAAGGCCGAACCTCTGAAGGACATGGCGCACCAAGTGTGACTGAGTCAAAGTGATGGTGCGGGCTGCTCTGTCCCTGGAGATTTGCAAGCCAAGGTAGTGACACAGTTCTCCAAGGTCAGTGCAGGTGTGTCTCTTCAGCACCTCTGCCTTCACGGAGGCCAGTGCGTCCCTGTCTGCTGTGGCGAAGACCAGGTCGTCTACGTAAACAAGGATGTAGAATGGGGCCTGGGCAGCACGAACGAAGAGCGAGGGGTCTGCAGAGGACGGAAAGAACTGCAGGTCAGCAAGCGTAGCATGCAGCGTGTCGTGCCACTCACGGGGAGCCTGCCGCAGGCCGTAAACGAGGCGTCGGAGGAGCCACTGGGTCCCAGAAGGGAAGGTACCAGTAAAGCCCTGTGGGCGACGCAGGTAGACCTGCTCGTGTAGACTGCCCTGAAGAAACGCAGTGGAGAAGTCGAGGGAGTGAAGCTCGTAGTCACGCTGCGCTGCTACGTGTAGTAGCACCCGAAGAGTAGTCATCTTCAGGCTCACAGCTGGACTGCGCAACAGACGAGGAGTGAGTAGCTCTCCACGAGACGGCACCTGAGCCAAGGCTGAAGCAGTAGCCCTGGGTAGACCTGAGTGTCTCAGCGTCGTCTGCCCACGAAGCGTCTGTGTGTCCAGTAAGGACCACTGGCCTGCGTCCTCCAAGCACTAACCCCATGCCCGATGTACTAGCAAGATAACGCAGAACCCTCTTAGCGGCAGACCAGTGCTGCGGTCGGTGTCTGCCTGTGGCCACAAAGCGCGCCAGGATGCTGAGAGGGTATGCGAGATCTGGGCGAGTGCAAGTCATCAGGTACATGAGGCAACCCACCAGCTCTGCGTAGGGGCCGCTGGGCTCTACCAACTCCTCAGGTACTGGAGCGGAGAGTCTGTGGTCTACAGGCAGAGGGGTGGGCTGTGCAGAGGAGAACTGAAGGCTGAACCTCTGAAGGACCTGGCGCACCAAGTGTGACTGAGTCAGGGTGATGGTGCGCGCAGCTCTGTCCCTGGAGATCTGCAAGCCAAGGTAACGGCGCAGTTCTCCAAGGTCAGTGCACGTGTGTCTCTTCAGCAGCTCCGCCTTCATGGAGGCCAGCGCGTCCCTGTCTGCTGTGGCAAAGACCAGGTCGTCGACGTAAACAAGGATGTAGAACGGAGTCTGGCCAGCACGAACGAAGAGTGAAGGGTATGCGGAAGACGGAAAGAACTGCAGGTCAGCAAGGGTAGCACGGAGAGTGTCGTGCCACTCACGGGGAGCCTGGCGCAGGCCGTAGACGGGGCGCCGCAGGAGCCACTGGGTCCCAGGAGGGAAGGTGCCAGTAAAGCCCTGAGGGCAACGCAAGTAGACCTGCTCGTGTAGGCTGCCCTGAAGGAAGGCAGTGGAGAAGTCGAGGGAGTGAAGCTCGTAGTCACGCTGAGCAGCTAGGTGTAACAGAACCCGAAGAGTAGTCATCTTCGGGGTCGGAGCGAAAGTCTGGAAGAAGTCCACCCCCTCGCGCTGACTGAAGCCTCTAGCGACATAGCGCGCCTTGAAGACAGGCGGCTCTCCAGGAGGGCGCTTCACCTTGAAGAGCAAGCGGCCATCGACTACGTTCACCCCAGGTGGGGGAACTGCGTCGACGAAGGTGCCGGTGGATCTCCAAGATGCCATCTCCTGCTCCATGGCAGCTATCCACTGCGAGGCCCAGGGTCCCGAAGTCGCCTCAGCGTAAGTGCGAGGGGTCGGGATGTCGAAAGCGTCTGGGTCACCCTCAGGGACTAGCAGCATGGAACAGAGATGGGAAGCAGCCTCGGAGAGGAAAGCAAGCTCGAACTGGCGATCCTCCAGGACGTCACTGCCAAGGGCAGGAGCACCCCCGACAGACGGAGGACAGGCAGGGTCAGAGACCAGAGCGGTGGCGTAGTCAAGGCGGCAGGTAGAGGCGAAGTCAGCGACAGCAGCGACAAGAGCGTCAAGGCACGAGACCGGAACAGACGGGTCGGTAACGAGAGAGGCAAGGACCCGAGGAACGAGAGGACGAGCGGCACGAAGGTAGTCGGACAGCGGGGGGGGCGCAACAACAAGGGAGGACGGAGGAGGCGACGGGAGAAGGGGAGGACGAGACGCGTGGGAACGAAGCAACATAGGGTGGGAGCGCAAGACAGGCGAGGCAGGACGAGCACGGGAGGGGCGGTGAGACCAGACGTGTGACGGAGGAGTCGGGTCAGGAGACAGGGGAGGGGACACAGGAGGGGAACGAGGGGGGAGACGAGCCGGGGACGAGTCCGGCGGAGGAAAAACAGGGCCGTAGAAAGGAAGAGGAGGAGACGGCCGGGGAGGAACAGACGCAGGGTCGGGTGACGGAAGGCCGAGCAGGCGAAGGGCGGACACCGGCGGGGACCGCTGCTGCGGCGGCACAACGGCGACACCTGGACCGCAAGCTGCTCCTCGGCTACCACCGGCACTCTCCACACCAGCACCCCCAGAGGGACCACCCCCAAAGTCAGCGAACGGGGGCTGCGACGGCGGCAGCGGCGGCGGCGGAGGCGACGACGGCAGCGGCGGCGGCGGCGACGACGACGGCTGCAGCAGCGGTAGTGGCGGTGGAGGAGGGGACTGGGGAGGGGACACCTGGGGAGGGGCGGCCGGCGAGGACTGCACAGGAGGGCCACCAGAGTCAGAAGACTCCTCAACCGGGTCCACGGACGGAAGGGGGGTGACGTGGGACACACCAGAGGGGGCGGGACGGGGAGGAGGAGGAGGAGGGGCAGGGACTACCGGGGAAGGGGTGACGAGGAACAGGGGGGGGGTAACCGGGGGACCACGGTGGGGAAAGCGGCGGTAGTAGGAGACGGACTCGTCAAAGGTGACGTCACGAGAGTGAAAGAAGCGGTGAGACGGCGGGTGGTAAAAGTGCCAGTCGGACGCGTCCAGGGGAAAACTGAGGAAGACGCAGGGAAGGGTGCGGGCAGTGAGCTTGTCCGTGCCGGAGGCACGGACGTGAGCAAGGCAGCCCCAGACGTGGAACGCAGACGCGTCACCAGGAGACCCAGTCCAAAGACGGGTCGGCGAAACCTGCGGCTGCTGAGGGTGCGGCCACAGGTTAAGCTGGTGAGACGCGTAGCGCACAGCGAACGGCCACAGAAAATGGGGTGCACCGGCATGGATCATGGAGGTGCGAGCTACCTCCATGACCAAACCGATGCGTCGCTCAGCGACCCCATTCTGCTGTGGGGAGTCCGGTAGGGTGAACGTCTGGGTGATGCCCTCCGCACGACAAAAGCGACCAAGGACACCGGAGGCAAACTCGCCACCACGGTCTGAGTGAAGACGCAAGACAGGGAGACCGCGGTGGACACGCGCAGAGACAAGCCAGGGGATGAGGGCGCCAGGCACGTCGGCCTTGCGCTCCAGGGGAAAGACTGTGGTGTAACGAGTGAAGTCGTCGACAAGCACAAGGAAGTAGCGCTCTCGACGCGGCCCAGGGACGGGGGCGGGGCCCCAGACGTCCAGGTGCAGGGTCTGCAGAGGCGCGGCGGT